GGGATCCTGTGTGCGAAGACGGGACTATCTGCTGGGGCGGACGCTGGGATGGAAGGAGCCGGAGGCAGGCCAACAGGACCCCGTCTCCTTCATGTGACAACAGGGCTGGCTTATGAAACGAAGCAGCAGCAAAGAGCCGCAGAGAGCGCTGAGGAGATGGGGGCCCTGGACGAGGAGCAGGGAGCTGGAGACCAAGTTCCCCCTCTCAGTCACTGGGGGGCTCTCAGCAGTGGCAGGGTTGCCTCTGGGTTCGTTTGAATTAAGCTTGGGAAGAAAGAATTGCCCTAAAGCCCAGATGTTGCCAGCTGCTGAGTGGCTCTTGTCCCTCCATCTGGCTAGCAGAACAGGCCTGGCTCCTTCTAGACTCAGGAGACTTGGTCCCAGCCCTCCCTTGAGTAAGTTACGTCCCCACACAGTGCCTCAGTTTCCCTCAGTGTGAAAGGAAGGTAGTGGGTTGGCCCCTGCTCTGCCGAGCGCGTTGGGACCTGGGGCTGAGCAGAGCGAGGTGTGATTGGAAAGGGGAGCAGCCTTTTCCCCCTCAGCAGCAGCCAGCACGGAGTGAGCCGCCCCGGCTGACCCTCTGCCTGTGCTCCGCTCCCTGCCACAGATGGTCGACCTGGGGCTGGTTCTTCACCAAGGCGCCTATTTCCGGGACCTGTGGAACATCCTGGATTTCATCGTGGTCAGCGGAGCTCTGGTGGCCTTTGCCTTCACGTGAGTTTCTTGCTGGAGCTCTCGCACTCCTCCCCAAACCCAGCTCCTGGCTGGGCAGGTGGGGAAGGCCCCAATTTGCTCGTTGCATGACAGGGCGCCCCCCTTTCGCTGCCAACCCCCCAGCCAATCACAGAGCATGCATGGAATGGCGGAGCGACCTCCCCGCCAGCTTGGGATGCCCCTAGCACGTGGAGCCGCTCCCAAGGGCCAGGTAATGGCTGTCCATCCTAGCCATGCAGTCCCCACAACCAAGGCCTCATCCGCAGGGCCAAAGGAACGGGGTCCCGAGCAGGAGCTCCCCGGAAGGGAGCCTGGTGCACGCCGCCCCAGGTCAGGCCCAGCGCTGCTGGCTTCGGCAGCAGGATTCTCAGGGCCTTGCACTATGATGCCACCCAAGTCGTTAGCACAGTGATGTTCCGTTGCCACCCGGGGACTGGCCCGGCAGATCCCTTGCTGAACAAAAGCCCAGGGGCAGCGAGGACCTGTTTGGAGAAAGGGTTTCGCTGTGCTAGTCAGAGCCCAGCAGGAGCGGCTCAGTAAATCTGGAGCACCAACTCCTGGGTGAGCCTCAAGTGCAGGACTGGGGTCTAGTAGTTAGAGCAGGGTGGCTCCTGGTTCTTTCCTTAGCTCCAGAAGGGGAGTGAGGTCCAGGGGTTAGAGCGTGGGGAGCGGGTGTCTGGGAGTCAGGACTCCTGGGTTCTATCCCTGGCTCTGGAAAGGAGTGTGCTGTGGTCATTAGAGCACTTCTGGGTTCTCCTTCCCAGCTCTGCGACTGATGCTGGGCCCTGCTGCTTGTCCATCTCTCACGTGGTGAGAGGGTGCTGGGACAAGCCACTCCTGGCAGGTGGTGCGACCCAGCCCATGCGGGCGTGGTCAGCTAGAGAAGCTAGAATTGCACCAGTTCAGTGGATTAGGAACTGAGTTTCCAGTGTTGGTTTGCTCAACCCATGAGCAGCTTCTGTGTCCCGATGAAGCAACACATAAGGGTCAGCAGATGGTTGGGGTCACGCGGTCATTATGGAAGGATGTATGTAAACAGACACGTGAGCCAGGAGAGCCCTCGGGGTCCTGGTGGGTCATCTCCAGCCCCCGTGTGGCACCCCCAGTGGCGAGCTCTCCTGACTGCCTGCTGGGACCCCTGAGAGTCACTGCTAGTGGGCAGGGAGAATGGGCTGGATGGTACAGCCGGCTGCACCCCCAGAATGTGCATCTCCCCACTCCCCCCGCATGCCTGGCGCTGTCCCACCGATTGATCCTCCCCCTGCATGGTCTGTGCTGGGCGGCACACGGGCTTCCCCTGATATTCCTGACCCTCTGTGTGGAGCTGGGCAAACTGCTGGGGCTGTTGGACGAGCCGTCCCTTTTCGGTGCCCACCATGCCCGAGGACTGGCCGCGTCGGGGCATTTGGTGCTGCCTGCTCACTTGGAGGTCACGAGAGCAGTCGAGGCTGGGTTGGTAATGGCCATCTGATGGCCTGTGTGTGTGAGGAGTCTGAGGGGTCTCAGCCTTTTCCCCAGTGGGACCAGGCACCCACTTCGCATCCATGAAACACCATTGCCAGCGGCCTTAATTGGACTCCTCGTTGGCAGAGAGGCCAAAATAGGTCCCAGAACCTGAGCTCCCTGGAGTGCTGGGTCCTTTGGGACAGGACTGGGAGAGACACCTTCCCACGGCCGGTGTTTGGACCAGAGCCTAGTGGTCTTGATGCATCCCCCAGGCTTCAGGGTCTGTCCGTTCCCTGGGGAAACCCAGGATTTGCAAGGATGATGTGCCCTGGCCTGTGCAGGAGCAGGGAGGGGAATGGAAAGCTCAGGCTGTGAATGCCGTGTCCCCATCCAGGGCGAGCAGCTGCCGCTGCAGTGAGGTGGGGCGGAGAGGGGGCCCCCTGCTTGTTAAATACCCTGACTCTCTAGAGAGAGAGAGTTCTGAGCTGGGCTGAAGCAGAGCTCTGGCACCTGGTTCCCCTCTCCCCCACCCCGGAGTCATGCTGCTGGAGTGACTAGGAGTGACTTATCAAGATTAGGCTAGATAAGTTTATGGAGGGAATGATTTGATGGGATAACATGATTTTAGTCAATTAGGCAATAACGTGCCATCGCTGGTAAAATGAGGGTCTGGCTGGAGAATCTTGCCTGTATGCTCGGGGTTCTACTGATCGCCATATTTGGGGTCGGGAAGGAATTTTCCTCCAGGGTAGATTGGCAGAGGCCCTGGAGGTTTTTCGCCTTCCTCCGCAGCATAGGGCAGGGGTCGCAAGCTGGAGGATTCTCTGCGACTTGAAGTCTTTAAATCACGATCTGGAGACTTCAGCAGCTGAGTTAAGGGAAAGTGGGTGGGTCAGCTTTTGTGGCCTGCATCATGCGGGAGGTCAGACTAGATGACCATAATGGTCCCTTCTGACCTTAAAGTCTATGAGTCTATGAGTGACACTCGTGTAGACGAGAGTCTGGGCCGTCCGTAGCCTTGCATCCTAGTCCCTGGGGGCTAGCTTGGCTGGTGCGACGGGGCCTTGGCGCAGGCACAGCCATTCCCCTCCTCCCAAAGAGCACCCCAGACCGGCTCTGCCATCTTCACAGGAGCCCATGTGCACAGTTCAGGGAGATGTAGAGGAGGGGGAGGGGCAGAAGAGAAGAATGTGTGGCCAGGGCAAACCTGCGCCCCAGTGGTTCTGCACCCCTGCAGTAGCCCCCGGTAGTTGTAACAGCAGGGATGTGGGCTGGGTGACCCTCCAAAGCATGCCGACCAGGGAGATCTCACCAGACCTGCCTTTTTCCCTTTGGATCTGAGGCCGGGTGGTATGACCAGCATGCCTCTAGGAGTGTTTGGTGAAATCATGGGTGGAATCCATAGTCACGGGGGGGGGCGGTGAAGTGGGCGGCTGCTGGGCTGTGTAATTTGGGGGAGTGGAGTGTGTTGGTGGAGCCAAGACCCATTTTGCATCTAATCCATCAAGAGGCCCTGCAGATATAGGGAAGAATGGGTTTTAAAGGGTTAACCGAACATTTCAGACCCATCCGAAAAGGCTATGGGGTGGGGGGCGCATGGGGATCTTTTCCAGTCAGTTTGCTCACCCCTGCCAGAGAGACGTTTCCCCCATTGATTGAATCCACCTACCTCTCCTGAAGAGCGCTCTCAGCTTTCCCCCTCCCCACCTCTCTCCCCACTGTTAGCCTTGTTTATTTCACCCTGTTTCATGTCAGTTTCGATTCCATCACTAGCCTAGAACCAGTTTGAGCCATTTTGGTAACACAAGAAAAGTAGCTCTGGATGTTCTGCTGTGCCGCATTACTGTCTCACTTGGTTGTGTATGCTGCTCTCCGCTGTACCACGTTAGATCATGCTGCTGCATCAGTACCAGCCATCCCAGGGTCTCGACAGCTGGATTCTACCTCTGCCACAAGCTACTCTGACCCCAGTTATTCCGAGCTGGGCTGGTGGCAAGAGGCCTGAGGAGCGCTGATTGCTACACTTGGGCTTGCCTTCGTATGTGATGTCTGGCCCCATTCTCCTTCCACACTGGCGGAAATCCAGGGTACCTTCCCTGAAGTCAGCGGTTACACCAATGTAACCAAGCGCAGAGGCTGTGCCGCCAGGGGGCCAAGAGCTAGTATCAGTCAACACAGCTGTATTGAAGTCAATGCAACTCTGCCGATTTAAACCGCCCTCAATTTATTTAACTCCACTGGGAGTTTTGCCCAAGTAAGGAGTGAGTAAATCTGGAGTAACGAAGTCACAGTTTGGTCAGTTGTCCTCAATTTATTTGACTTCTCTAGTAGTTTTGTCCGAGTAAGGAAAGGCCAAACCCAGAGTAAGGGAGGAGTGAATGCTGGGTAAACGAGGAGTAAACCCTGAGGATTTGTCCCTCTGTTCATGATTTTAAAGCTCATCCACACGCAGGGAATCCTCCAGCTGTTGGAAAATGTCCTGTTTGGTACCAGAATCTGGATCCAGCTGTCAAGCCTTGATCTGGCTTTCAGGTTCTCCTGACACCGGCATCCTGACCTTGCTTAGCCCAGCTCGGTCCATCTCCTGGCCAGGAGGTGAAAGAGGAGGAGCATGTGTGAAGCCCTGAGCAGGGCGCTGGGGGTTCCAAGAGCAGCGCCGGTGTGGGGACAGCCCATTTGGTGGTTTTTGTTGGGGTGCGTCTCGTGTGTTTTCTCTCTGGTTGTCACTCACCTCTCCTTGTCTTTCCCCTTTCACTGCCACCTGACACAGGAGCAGCTCACGGTAAAGTCTTTCTCTCTCTCTCTCTCTCTTTCTCTCTCGTACACATTCTATCTATGTTCTCTTTATTTCTCTGTGCTCATGATCATGCGTTGCTTTGAATGGGAGGCTCTGTCCATCACTCGTTCAGGTCGGTTCTTGTCATTGACCCTTCTGCTGGACACCCACCCAGATTTCTTTGTCCCCCGTGCATAAGGCACCCTGTTGCCTCTGTCTCGGTCCTGTGCTGGAACGGGGTCTCCCAAAATGGGACAGTGGGTCCCCTCTAAGGACATGATTTCCTTGTACACAACACTTTGGTGCCTTTCGCAACATTGTTCCTTTGAAATCCGCACCTGGTGACCTTCTACTGAGAAGAGGGAGTGGGGTCCATTGCTACGGGCAGGGAACTGGGAGGCAGAATGCCTGTGTTCTGGTCCCAGTTCTGGTAGGGGAGTGGGGTCTAGTGGTTAGAACATGGGGAACTGGGAGCTAAGACTCCTGGGTTCTATCCCCAGCTCTGCCACTGATGCGCTGTGCGACCTAGGTCAAATCAGTTTTTCTCTCTCTCTGCTTCACTTCCCCCTTCTCTGAAATGGGGATAATGCTGATTGACCCCCCCGCAGTGGGTGGTGTGAGGGTGAATGAATGTTTGCAAAGTCCCTTACAGGGGCTAGTGATGGATAAAGTCTAGTTATGAGCACCAGGGCAACTCACAGTGAGAAGCCCTGTGGGAACAATCACCAGTCCCCATCAGCTCGGCATGAAGCAGTTCCACTCCACCCCTCCATGCTGGGGCCGGCTCTGGGCGAGATTGTGGCCCAGCTCTCCGCCGTCCCATATACTGGAGGCACCCATGATCAGCGCATCGCCCCTGTCCCAGCCTGGGAACCAGGCCCCATGTTATTGGATTTTCCTACATCCAGCACCTTCTGGACTGGATCTGCCCATACGGCCCAATCTGTGCTGGGGAGAAGAGGAACTGAGAGTGCCAGGCAGTTTGCGCTGAGATCTGGGGCTGGAAGGCGCTCCCATCCTGCCCCTTCTAGGGAATGGGCCGTTAGAACACAGGGCTTCTTAGTGTGCAGCTAATAATAAATAGGGACTTTTCCTATCACCAGACATCGGTCCCATCTGCCAGCCACAGGACTCCTAGGTTCTGTTTGCGCCTGTGCTGGTAACTCCCAAAGTAGCCGTAGGTAAGTGGCATAGCCGCTCTGTGTCTCAGTTTTCCTGTCTATAAAATGTGGATAATGAGGCCTCTGTGAGGAATGAATTTGCTGGGTCTCAGCCTTGATCCCCGTGGGACAGATGTCTATGGCCCCAAACCACCACCCTCACAATCAGCGATCCCCGTCCCTTTTCATTGGCAGCCTCGCCAGCAAAGCCAGGATTGAACGGGCCATGAAGGCTTCACCCCCTGCCCCCCACAACAGGGATCACAGTTGGAAGGGTGTGAATGGGAAAGCTGCCTGGCTTGTACCTGTAGCCAGGACATGTTCAGGCTCCAGGGCCCACACCCCAGCCCCTTTCACTAGTGGTAAAAAAAAAATCATGTGTGTGCAGTGACGGGAGATGATTAAAGGAATTTCACAGTGGGGAAAACTACTGAATAGACCAGACTGAACTCCCCATCTCCCTGGATGTGACCCACCCCATTGTTCTCACGGTGCTTGCCATTTGCCACAGCTGTTTGTAAGAAGTGGGGACTATGTACTTTAGTGGTTAGTGCAGGGAGCTGGGAGCCAGGGCCCCTGGGTTCGGTTTCCACTTCCAAGTGGGAGTGTGCTCTGGTGGTTAGAGCAGAGGATCAGAAGCCAGGACTCCTGAGTTCTGTTTGCGCCTGTGCCACTAATTCCTGAAGTAGCCATAGGTAAGTCCTTTCCCCACTCAGTACCTCAGTTTCCCCATGTATTGAATGGGGATGATGATACCGACCTTGGTAAAGAGCTTTGAGGTCCTTGGATGAAAGATGCTGTAGAAGAGCAAACACCTGGTGAAAGGACCTTCCCCGCTCCCCAGCGGAGGAGTTCCTTCTTCCTTGCCTTCTCTCTTTGTGGAGGTGTCTGCAAATCACAGTTTGGTAAGTGCTGCTGGCTCTGTGGAAATTACTTCTAAGACAAAGAACGAGGTGGTTGTTCAGGCTGCGGCATTTCAGCATTGAATGACGACGTCCCAGTGAGGATGAACTACATGGGTTTTTCTAGTAGGAGTCAGGATTTTCTTTCTGGTGGGGTGCTGGAGTGGAGGTGTTCCCCAGTCCTGGATGCCACCCATCAGTTGGGCAAACTTAAATCACTCTACACTCCCTGCAGCTGTGGGATTTGTGTGGTCAAGGCTGCTCACTGTGGACCAGCACTTAGGGTGACGCCAGCCAGCACAGATTGGAAGCTAGGCAGCCAGAGAGAACCATGGGGTCTGTCCATGGATGGATGGAAAGACATCATAGGTAGATAGGTAGAGTGGATGGCTGGACAGATCCATGGATGGATGGATAGGTCGGTAGGTAGAG